GTTAGAAAGAGCTAGCCTCAATCACTGGACAAACCGATGTCACAAAACATGAAGATTATAAACACCTGAGACCAGGCTAAGTCCATGAGAGCTAATAAGAAAAATATTCATAACAAATTGTTGCAAACACATACAAGCTCTCATGGACTTAGCCTGGTCTCAGGTGTTTATAATCTTCATGTTTTGTGACATCAGTTGGTCCAGTGATTGAGGCTAGCTCTTTCTAACAGACCCAACAGAATAGGTGTTTTCCTTCACCTGAGGACGGAAACAGATCCAGTTTCTGAAACGTCGTGTTTTTATTAGTTATCTTAAAAACCAGGACGATGGATAAAGTCCAAAAACCCAATATATCAGTGTGTTATACACCATCGTCAGAATCCTATAGTAACTACTTCTTTTCCATGTCTTCAGTATCCTAGATGATGATGATGATTTGTATGAGACACTATTAAAACCTTGTGAATAATCTGAATATGTGCTGTGATAAACCTCTCAGTACTGTCATTGTATTAGGAGACATAAACTTCACATGTACCTCATTAAAATAAGTAGTTCAGAAAAGTGAAGCAGAAGTTGTGTTCCTTGATGTGGTAGTTTTTTATACACATATATTTCATAAATTTTTAAAAATTAAATGTGCAATATCTTTTATTTTTTATTATTATTCATACATAGTATGTTGTGATTTAACCAGAATATTACTGCTTTAAATACCAGTGATTTAAACATCAACAAGAAGTTCTGGGAAGAACTAATCATCTACTTTCCTTTGATATGACACAGACTGCACAGAAAACGAAAAAAATTGGGAGGACACACACAGCAAGGTGATCTTATAAGCCTTGTAACAATAATTATGGGGGATACACAGACTAGCAGATAGCAAGATGAAGTTATAAACCTCTTTTTTTTTTCAAAATAAAGAAAGTAGGGTAAAAAATGTTTTAGATCCTCACACCAGCATAATGCAAATACTATATGCATGAATAAGAAACAACCCATTCATGATATCTGGGCAGTGTAGTTCAGATAATTGTTATCTAATTCTTGCTGATTTATATTATTGTCAAAAAATATATTTAACTCATGCAAGGTCACATTATTATCTGAAGTAATTATAAAAATATTGGATCTTCATGTACCTCATCCTAGCACTTCATTTTTCTGTATCATATGTCTGTCTTCAGAAAATCTATGTGAAATAAATATTGATCATATGATTAGAGTTGTTCTTATTTATCCATGAAAACAGAATGTTTGAACTTTAAAGTTTTAGATCATACCCATCTTTCATTGTCCTTCCTTCAGGCAGTAATCACTTTCAGAAGACAAGTGTTATACCCCAAGGAATGAAACTTCTGTCTTCAGAATTCACGTGAACTGAGAACAAAACTTAATATCTTCTTTTTAAAATATCTTGATACATAAATGATATCTGTGCTCCTCATATTATTTCATCTTAAAAATTGTGGCATATGTATCAAATACTGTGTGAAACTTTTTTTTTTGCACAGTATGCATTCTGTTGTGTATCATAAGCAAATGACAAGGTAAGATTTGCATCAACACAACAAACGTGGTTACACAATTAATCAATTCTCAGATTGAATTTTTATTTTCCTACTGCTACATGTTTCTGTCCTTATGGGACTATGATCAGGCAGTATTATAATCAAATGACTAAAGTTCTTTAAGCTTCCAAATATGGATCCATATTTAGTGCAACACAATCATATTACTACATTAAGTCTAGATTAGAATTCAAGAAAATACAGTATTAACCTTCTCAGTATTAAGATATTGTATATCTTGTATCTGTATCTATTTGTATATATACAAAGAATTATATTACAATTGTATTAAAGATATTAAAAAGTTTTGCATGTGATGTTTATCGAAGGGGAACATTATGTTGGTAAGATGTTATATTACAAAATAAGGCCTTGGGAATGAAATTGAAAGTTATGCAATTAAAACCTAAAATATTAAAATTATTAGAACAATTGCTAAGAATATGGGATGTGATGTTAAATTTTCCCCATGTGTTCATAGTTTTTGTGTTGTGTGAATAATTGTGGAAAGCCACGTGGAGTGCCTCTCAGGGTGGAAGTTGTTACACCCAAGGTTATGCGGTAGTAAATGCTTTATGGATATTATTACATGGGTTGTTAGAGTGTCTTGATATTCATGCAGTGTGCATCACTGGGTGAGACGTAAGAATATTGCTATAATTGATATGTGTGTGTGTCCCTTCAGTATGAGCACTGTATGTTGTAGCTTGGTGCAGCTTGGACTGTGGAGTATTGATTGATTGTATAACCATGTTTGTTATGTTGCAGGAAACCTTAACTTGACTTTTGTTGCTTGAAACAACACACTGTCAGTATTACCAGAAAATACTGTAAATGAGTGGATATAAACTGTATCAGTTCTTCAACCCACTGGCATCTATTGATGACTCCAGGACATCCACTCAGATATGTTTAGATGACATTTGTTGCTTTGATAGCTGTGAAACCATCACCAGATGCAAGTTGAAGTAGTTTACATATATGACTGTTACAAATATTATGTTTTTGGACAATATCCATCGTCCTATCCTTATCTCAAAGCACCGTCCTGTTTATTTTTCAAAACACAGTGTTTCGGAGACTGGATTCTCTCTCTGTCTTCAGGTAAAACCTACTCACTTTAGCCCAATTTGTAGAGCTAGTCCCCATCTCTGGATAGGTGCTAGCTCTATCGATTGAGCCCAACTGAGTAGGTTTTACCTGAAGACAGAGAAAGAATCCAGTCTCCAAATGTTGTGTTTTGAAAAATAAACAGGATGGTGTTCTTAGTTAAAGACAGGATGATGGATAATGTCGAAAAACATAATACAGGGTATACACAAAAGAATGGTGCGGTTTCAAAAGTTAATAAAAAATAATTTATTTACCACCTTCCATGGGCACAACATACACTGTCAGCAGCGGCAACTGTCAAAGTTTCCCATGCGCTACCAACAGTTCACTTCTCAAGCTTTTTGCATGGCTGCGGGACCAGTTTCAAAGATGACGTTGCAGCAGGGGAAGGCTTTCTGTGTGCTCCGTTTTGAGGTGTCCAAATCTGTGATTACAGTGCAGTGTGAGTTTCATGCATGGTTTCAAAAAGACGCACCACACAAAATAACATAAGCAGGTGGTACCGAGAGTTTGTAGAAACTGGATGCTTGTGTAAAGGCAAGAGTCCTGGTTGACCTCATGTGTCTGATGACAACATTGAAAGAGTGCATGAAGTGTTTCAGCGAAGTTCCCGCAAGTCAGTGTGTAGAGGAAGCAGGGAATTGGGCATGCCAAAAATGATGGTGTGGAAGGTGTTGCGTAAGCGGCTAATGTTTTAAACTGTACAAAATGCAATTGGTGCAGGCCCTTAAACCAGCAGACAAAGAGAAAAGGCATGATTTTTGTGAGGAGATGCAGTTGAAAACGGAGGAAGATGGGTTCGTAGGAAGATTGATCTCCGATGAAGCCATGTTCCACATCAGTGGCAAGGTGAACAGACACAATGTTCATAGCTGGCGAACCGAGCAACCACAAGCACAGATAGAGCACCAGCATGACTCTCCAAAAGTCAATGTTTTCTGTGCGGTGTCCCGTGAGAAAGTGCACAGCCCGTTTTTCTTCTTGAAGCAACTGTGACTGGCAGCTCATTTTTGGACATGTTGGAAAGCTGGTTGTTACCCCAACTGAATACCAATCATGATGATTACATTCCACAACTTGACAGAGCTTCCTCCATTTTCACAGGAATGTACGAGTGTTTCTCAATTGTGTTCTTCCACAGTGCTGGATTGGTCAGGCTGCTGCAACTGGAGACAACAACCATCTCCCTTGGCCACCCTGTTCGCCAGATCTTACACTGTGTGATTTATTTCTTTGGGGGTTCGTTAAAGACAGCCTTTATGTACCACCATAGCCCACGTCCATCCATGAAGTTCGTGATCGGATAACGCATGCATTGTAAACCATAACAGCGGACATTCTGCACCGGGTCTGGGATGAGTTTGATTACCATGTGGATGTGTGTTGTGTGACCCAGGGTGCATACATTGAAGGTTTGTAATTAATGCATGAGAAACTTGGACAGCTGCCACCGCTGATGGTGTATGTTGTGCCCGTGTAAGTTAAGAAATAAATTTCTTATCAACTTTTGCAACCGCGCCATTCTTTTGTGTATATCCTGTATTTGTACTAATGTACCATTGCCACAAACTTTTAGATCTTATTACTGTTGTTGCTAAGTATGTGTACAGTTCTAATGAATGATCAGACTGTTGGACTAGACTACTACTATTTATTATCAGTGTTACCACATTCTCTCTTTAAATGTAAGTAAAATAGTTGGCCACTGGGTGAACACTGTATTATAAATATTTTTTGTTGTCAGTGTAAAATAGCTGCGTGCTTAATACAAGCAGTACATTTCATAATATTGCTTGATGGTGATGATCCAGCTGAACTGAAACATGTAGCAAATGTACATAATAAAACAAATATTAATACAGTAATATTGATTTACATTATGAATTTGTTGTGTTGATGGTTGTATAATAATACTGTATAGCTTAATAATGTTACAATAATTAATTAATTTTGCAGCAAAGTGGAAAAGTTATTCTATGAAAGTAGGATTCGAGTCAATGGAGAAAAGATACTTAAGAAGAGTGCACAGGTAAGATATATATATACATATATCTGTGTGTGTATGTGCGCGCGCGCACGCACACAGAGAGAGAGAGAGAGAGAGAGAGAACTTTTCATATAAGAATCAATTTACAATTTTTTATACTGTTTGACATATATATGTTTCTTTACAGTTAGATGTTGGAGATGAAGTAGATGTAATTCGTAGTTTAAGCCCTATGAACCCAGAATTTCTCTTAGTGTCACGGATTGAGATCCTGTCAGTGAAAGCTGGAGAAGAACATATCGCAGTTAAACTTAGAAGATTCAAGTCTCTTACTGTTGAAAACTACCGTGACCCATGGAAAGAAAGTGCTGATGCTACGTAATAAATCTGTATTACAGTTTCCAGGAGTATGTTTTTATTTGTTATAAATATCTTCTGAATAAAAATTAATGTAACAGAATTTACAAAATTAAATAAAATAAATATTTAATTAATATAGTAACATAAAATTTATTATCAAAGTTTACTGATTTCAATTTAATGTATTAAAGCATCTCTATTGTTGTTATAGCTAACTCTGCTGTAGTTCCTCCAGCACATGGCTTTCTAAGAAGGCTTAATAAGAAGGTACAATATATACAATATCAGCTTTATTGCGATTTTTATTGGTTTCTTCCTTAGCCATGAGATGGCATCTTGATTATTAAGCTTGTTGTATAATGATGGTAGTATAATTTCTGATGTAGTTAATATGTTGTGGTTGTATTCAGATTGTTGTCTCTCCTTACTTACACAGAAGATATGAATTCAGGTTTTAGGAAATGTGTGAAGTTCAGTGAGATTATTTTGTGACTGTGTCAGTGCACATAATTTACAGTATGCACAATTATTGCATTGGTTGCCACCTATCCTCTTCAGGTAGCTGTGATGATAGTTGATTGGAGATTAATCTGATGAGTCAGCTGCAGTGGTAAGAGGAAGTGGTAGTATACATTGGAGCCTGAATTATAGAAAATATACATTTCATACGTGAAGTTCTACTTTTTGTGGGGATATTTAAAAGGTGAAATTTATCAACCTAATTCATGCACAGAAGAAGAACTCAGGGAAAACATACAGCTTTAGGTGTCCCCTATATACAAAGAAAAAACTACAGTATATGAGCCAGAATTTGGTAGAAGGTGTAAGGAATGAATCTGACCTGATGGGGAACATTTTTGGCATCCCCTGTAATGAAGATAAATACACCAGTATACAAAGTTATTGCAGTTCCATTACCACTGCAGCTAATTGAATAGGAAAGGCAGCAGGTGACAATGTTCTTGCATAGTGGAAAGGACATGCAATGGCACAGCTACAGAATAATATTCTTGTGTGTGAAGAATTATGTAGGGTAACATTTTATTTAACCAAATGAAACAACACACTTATACAAACTTGAATGTATAAGGGGTGGGCCTTCTTGGTCCTTGCACCACCACCACCACAGTGATCTATTGTGCCTTATACAAACTTAATATAAATATTGTGGTAGTGTATAAACATAAGCAAACAGCTGACTGCAACTGTTCTGTATGAATGTGTATTTGAGAGGGAAGTGTATAGAATATAGTATATGGATTAGCTAAATCATTAGGTATGATAAACATAGACTGATAAGGCACTCAAGAGTCTAATATATACACATCATTTGTCAAGGAATGTAAACATCATAGGTTACCTATCTGGTCATGTGGCCTTCAACTTCCAAATGGCTCCAATAAAAGAGGACATGGCATGTATTTGTGGCCAACAGACTTGATGAAATTTTACAGAAGCTTTTTCCTATACTACACAACAATAAACAGTAAAGCTTAAAGTCTATCATTATGTGAATTTTGAACACTACTCATGTATGTGTAACTGTTCTTTGCATACTGGCCACACTTCTCTTTATCACCAGTTTATGACGCTTCCTGTTCATTTACTTGTGTAACACCTAGAATTCTCTTACATTTCGTATATTGACAACAGACTGCAATTAATATTTAGATGCAGAGCAAGCCATCGAAACTGAAATATGTGGGCTCAAAAAAAGTAAATGTTCTGAATGCCAAAATTATACTGTATAGATGTCAAAGTGAAGGATTACAGTAGACCCTTGTTTTATGCTGGGGTGAGGTTCCTGGAAATGCCAGCATGTACTGAATCGGCATAAACGGAAGATGAATTACACTGTATTTGAATGGGGTGTGTTTCAGGTTTACAAAAATTGAGACTCTTTCATAGCATAATAAGAAAAACATATTTTAAACATAAACATATGTACATGGATTTATATCACATTTATTCTGTAATAAAATATAATAATGTAGGTGTTATGATGAGAGGATTGCCCGGTCTGTGGATTGTTAGAGTCAACTGGATCATCTTCTGCCATTTTTGGAACAATTGGAGGCTCTTCACATTTCTTTTTAAAATAGGAAAGGAGGGTTGTTTGTCTTACTTGGTGCCTCTTCTCCTGCAGAACATGGTAATAATGCTGCAACACTCTATTGACCCCTCTTCTAGTAGAACAGCTCTGTTTCCAGTCAGGATCAGTGTCACATAACTTCTGCAGGCACCAATCAGTTGCAGCCACAATGTCTGTCATCCATAAAATTGGCTCTTGTTTTACTTGCTGCTGCTGTTTCTGAGTCAGCTGTGCTGCAAATTCTTCCAGTTCCTCAGTTGTAAGAGGCTGAGAATGGCTTTCAAACAATTTAATGGAAAACAAAGGCAGTTACTAGAAAATTTTCAAATTTGCATGTATCACACTGCTGTAAACCAAGGGGCCACTGTATATACATGCTTGCATAGGAATATTATTCAACCTAAAAATCAATTACTTTGTGAACCACGACAGATATAATTATGTGCTATTTCTCTAGGATTTTTCAGTTTATACAGACTATGTACATTAAAGACTGGGTACATATAAGCCATATAAGCCAAACATGATTTTGATTTAATTTCTGTAAGAGATCCAAGTGACTATGGCTGTGAAGAACAAGTCTACATAATGGTTTTTTTTATTGTTAGTGGGGTGGGACTAAGTCCCTTGTACTGTGGTCACTCCTGGCCTATTGTACCAGCCCCAGATGATAGTTGAGGGTGATTGTGGAACAGTTGGTGGAATGAAGATTGGCAGGGGAAACCGAAGTACTCAGAGAAAATCTGCCCCAGCGCCACTTTGTCCACCACAGATCCCACTTGACCAGACCCGCGATCGAACCCGGGTCACCACAGTGGGAAGCCAGCAACTCACCGCTTGAGCTATGGCGTGACCCTACATAATGACTTACTGCCTGGTGATAGAGGTTGGAACCTGCTGTAAATCATTCAAGGACTAATTCAAATTCCCAGTTAAGTGTGAAATCCTTCCCTCCCACCTTATATCCTTGACCAGTACATAGTTACTCAAAGCTCTGTCAGAAGGTTTATGACTGTTACTACAGAAGTCCATCATTGGACCAGGTATGGTACACTTAATACCTTCACAGCCTATTTTCTAACTCCATTGTGCTGAGTTCTCCTTGTGAAGCTGATAATCATGTAGCCTTATAAAGAAATTCAACTTCCTTTATGGAACCTGAAGGCTATTCACAAGGCATACCACTGAACTGTGTCCTGAAGGCCCATGCCCTCATACCTAATTCTTTTTAATACTTTTGAAAGTTAGAATTTTGTCTATGCATTGGCCTCCAAAGTCATTATTTCTCCAAGATTGATTTTAATATTTCCCCTATGCACTTCCAAGTGTTCCTTTCATTGACAGTTTTCAATCAAACATTTACATTCAGGTCTTGTTTCTGCATTATGGATTATGCCAACAGCATATATTTTTCACTTACAGATGTACCATGAAACTCATGAGATCTATAAGTATATTCTGTCATTATCAGTGCTAATATATTTAACTGCCTGCACAGTGACAACACCCAGTAACAAAGAAAATGTGGTCATGACAGAGTAGTTTATTTTGGCAGAACGTACTTATTATTGTCACTCTTCTTTTCTGGATCAGTCAGAGTTCACCATAAGCTGAACCTGAAAATTCTTTGGGATTATAACTGTTAGTAACAGGTCCCACCAGTGGTCATTGTCCTGATCCAGTCCACATCCTCAAAACTTATTTCCCTGAGATTCATTTCAGTATCCTTCACCCCCTCTCAATTTCCCAGTTTGTCTGCTTCCAAAGAGATTGTCATGCCACAAGCTTAGACGTGAAAATGCAAGAATTAAGCTACAGTAACAGTGTAACCAGAAACCTCACCTATTTCAAGTATTACATGTGATATGCATATCAGTGATTCTCTAGTCCAACTTGTGTTCCAGTATATGTCTAGTTGGGACTTCCAGCTGACAGTATTTTCAGACTGTAGTACATATTGAGGATTGTTCCAAGGCTGAAATATCCTATACATCATCATCATAGCATTTTTATACAATTATTAAACATCCTTTTTACAGATAAACTCCAAGTTAAAATTTGGTAAGGTGCATACTCCATAACATGTTACATAACAAATGGTATATTCATGTGCCGAGACAACTTGTGAAGTTTTAACACATTAAAATAGAAATTTCAGCACAATATCAATATGTGTCTCCTGCCTCACATTTTAAGCACCAAAGATCATGTAAGATTTAAGATTCTTGTAGCAGTGACTATAAAGGTTACTGGCTTCTGGGCTGCAATGCTGCATATTTTGGTAGCTTCAGAAGTTGGAGAAAACAGGTTTATCCAAAAATGGTCATACCTATCTAGCAAGTTATGAACCACATCTCAGAAGACAGTAATCTTTTAGTAACATGAAATTTGATGAGAGAATTATGACCAAGAATAATGGAAGGATTTTCCTCATTCATGAATTAGGTAATGTGTGCAGTGACGTTAGCAATTTCTCAAGCCGATATTTTGTCAATCATCGCTCATGGGATGTTTTTCAAAGATTGAAAAGAAAGCACACAAAAGGGATATTGGTCTATAATTTTTCATATCCTTTTTGTCTCCCTTTTTATGAAGTGGTTTTACCTTTACTATCTGAAATCTCTCTGGGGAAATACCTGCTTCTAGAGAGGCATTATAAATGTGGGCTAATGGCGTTTTAACCGCTTCAATACATTTTTTAACCACATAATCTGGTATTTCATTGGTACCTGCTGAAAATTTCCCCCTAAATTTCTTCACCACTTACAATATCTCGTTTTCTGTCACTGGACAAATAAACATGGTTTCATTACAGGTATTTATTCTCTGTGGTGTTTTACAGCACAACATCGTACTATTATTTTGTTTGACAAGCTTTCCTACTATGTCCACGAAATATAAATTATACATTTCAGCTATACGCTGTGGATGAGCCTCTTTCCTTGTCCCGCACTTTAGTTCTATTCCCAGTTCCCTTTGCAGGTTATTTCCTAATTCCTTATTCACTATTTGCCACATTGCTCTAGTTTTGTTTTTTTCATTAGCTATATGCCTATAATTTTCCCTCTTCTTAGCTTCCTTTATTACTTTCTTAAATATCAGTCGATATTTATGTATATACTCCTGTTCTTTTCCTGTAAGATTTGTTCTCTTTTGCAAACTATTCAACCAACTCATCCTTTTACTGGACTTTCTTATTCCCTGAGTAACCCAACCTTTCTTTTGTTGTTTAGCCTGGTTAAGTAATTTTAAGGGGAAAACCATATCAAAGTAATAATGGAAAGTATTCATAAAAACCTTGAAATTCCCATTTACATCGGATTCTAAAAACACATCTTGCCACGATTCTTTGTTTAAAATATATTGCAGTTCTTCCATGCCTCCTTCATTAAACATTCTCCTCCTAACTCTTAATGGTCTCCTTACAAAATTCTCAGTACATATAGATAATACTTGAGCATAATGATGTGAGAAACCTAGCTCCATTGCTATTGATGGTAGTAATTACTGTTATTTATAATGATTACATCGGTCAGTGATTTAGTATTCTTTGTAGCTCTAGTCTGGACCTCCACTGTGTTTACCAAATTATATACATGCAAAAGATTTTTTAGTTCATTTAATTTTACAATCTCCTGCAAAAAATTCATATTCCAGTCCCCACATAAGATTAACTGTTTTCCTTTCATACTTAATTTTTTAATCATTAGTTCCAGTTTCCTTAAAAAATCTTTAAAATTTCCATCAGGTGATCTGTATATACAAATTACAATAATTTTATAACCAACAATTCTATCACTGCCATTTCAAAGTTTTTTTCCTCATTCATATCTTGGAAATAATTAACTTCTTTTGTTTCTAAACCTCTTTTTACATAAATTCATGCTCCTCCAGCATAGTGCATAGACACATGGAATTCATGCTCCCAATATGCCCTTTTGTGAATTTTTCTCTTCTGCTTGAAAAAATTAACCTGTTTAAAATGTTTACATTTTCCACATATGCTGCAATGACAAATATTTGTTGAATGCCAGTTTCATATGACCTAACTAACTTCATGGACCTGAGCCATTCTTGAGAAGCCACCAGTTGTGCACCTACTCCAACATTTTCCGGAACCCCTGAGGTTCACTATTGTGTTCACAAGAGCCCTCCCAGTTTCATATTACCTTACTTTATAAAACTATATCGCTGAAACTTGTGGTATAAATTGGTGTCTTCAAACTTTTAGTCTGCATATATAAAAGTATGAACAACAAAATGGTTTTCGAACCTGCAGAAAAGAGAGATTAAGGAAATTAAAATTTAATTCAATGGTAGATACTGTTGTCACTCTACATTTAAGATTCAGTGTTCACATATTGTCTAGTAAGTACTGCATAACAAGAGCATAATTTCAGACAGCAGTACTATGAGAAAGGGAATATGCTTGTGCCCTTCACATTTTGTGTTAATGTAATCAGTGAGTATATTTCCCTAGAAATGAAAGAGAGAAATTTAAATTAATCATTGCTTTAGTATGGAATCAGATGTATGCAAACCAATGCATCTCCATTACAAAAATCATGGAGTCATTAAATAATCATGTTTAGGGAAACAATTGCTGCAAGAATCAAAGGAACAGCGCACACAAACTCTGGGGATGATATATCATTTCACCTGTTTTTCCACCTTTTATGCACACAAATGGTAGGGGGAAAAATAATATTAGGTGAACTATGACACAACAAGGGGTACGCGGTAGCGTACTTGGTTGAGGCGCTATGATACAAGCCGGAAGGTCTCGGGTTCGAGTCCCCATAAGGTCATTGGCCTTTTTTTCAATTGACCAAATCCTTCCAGCCGCACTATGGCCCTGAGGTCGACTCAGCCTCTAACAGAAATGAGTACCAGGAATTAATTAAATAATTTTCCTTGGGAGTAAAATATTTTATAACGTAACTCCGTTGTGGCCTCAAGTAATAATTTATAATCACAAAGTAATGCATATTTTCTTTGCTTCCTACAACCTTGGACCAGAAATACATTACCACTGTACAGTCGCCTTTATTATAATATGTTTGCCATAAAAATTAACCGCTCATCAGCCACACAACAAACGCGAATGTAAATTTGGTTGCATATATACAAGGGTTGGCTTGTTCCAAAGGTAACCGTTAGATGGAAGAACATATGCTGGCACTTCGTGGTCTCATTTATTATAATCGGTGCTTATGTTTAGACATAACTTTTTTACAAGACACAAATCATAACTGTGGAATTCTTGCGAGAAACAAGATAAACTTTCGCTTGTCACCGAACAAGAAAATCACTAGTTCCGTAAATTCGTCACATCACATTCGTGTTATATCTAAAATATTTAGACGTTGAAATTGTAACCTATAACAGCATAACATGATTTCATTTCACGAACCATTGCAAAGTTGGTACTTTCACGTTAAAAAATCGGAGGCGCTTTGCGCAGGAATGGATAATAAATTTATGATATTCTAAAAGGATTGAATTTAAAGTGAAGTGGAACGTAATTATGTCTAGATATAACAACAGTGTTATATGTGTATAGGCATACAATTCTTCTGGTAGCTCCCTCCAGAGTAATCGTCCAAACCTATTTTCTTGAAGAATTGTTAAATCGACTTATGCATCTTGTGTTTGCTTACGTAAATGCCAAAACAAACTGGTGACCTTCAAGTCATTGAATGACATGAAGCTTTCTTTGGATATTTCGTACAGTGCTCGGTCTCTTCATGCGGTGATATAACCTATAATATACGAGAAACAAATGTATGGGCATACGTAAAGGGACGGCATTTAAGGTATGTCTCAACACATGTACGAGTATCAATATTGTGTGCTTAGAACTTTTGATTGATAAGCTAAATTTGGATGTTGTTTGGATGACATTCATCAAGTTCCTATACTCTCCAGCACTTTTCTCCACCTCCCACCGAGTTTCGAATTCCGTGATAACTTCAACTCTAGTCTCAATCAAAATTACTCCATTTATTATTTTGCAGTTAACAACAGTACGAATCCCTTATCAGCGCCAGTAACATATGATGGTGGAATAGGCCGCTCCATAGCTCAAGTAGTTAGTCGCTGGCTTCCCACCGCGGCGGCCCGGTTCGATCCCGGGTTTAGTCAAGTGGGATTTTTTGTGGACAAAGTGGCGCTGGGGTAGGTTTTCTCCGAGTACTTCGGTTTCCCCTGCCAATCTTCATTCCACCAATTGCTCCACAATCACCCTCACCCTCACCACATGAATTAGAAATTCATCAGAGTACTTATTATGTATCGGGGTGTTAAATGTTGGTGGTACCCGACCCTTAGGAATGGCTTGGCCTTGGATTAAAACATTAATCGGTTAATCTTAGTCGTAATTTTAAAGGCATTAAATTTCATAAATTCCTAAGGCTTGTTGTAATTGGTAAAAATAACTCACTGAATGCTGATTACTGCTAGTATTTAACTGATTGGCTACGGTGAAATGTATTTGCAAAACCAGACATATTTATTAGCTACAATGAATATCACAAAGAAAGGAGGGGTGGCTATAATGGTTGCCTAATATTTATAAAAATCTTACCCTTTATGTAATACTCTATTGGAACAAAATGTTATGTTAGTTGTACAGAAATTATAGAAGTACTTCTATACAGCTACAATGATGTGTTGTACTCATATATGTTTTTATTATTGCTACATATTATCACGTGATGGAGTAACTATAGGCAAGGAAAGGACAATATTGGGCGCCAAATCCGAACGACTGTCCAGTGAAATAGCTCTATCTCGGAAACCGTTCGGAATAGGACACATGTATATACACACTTTTTTTTTTTTGCTTAGATTGCCCGATACTATGACCTACCAGAATAGTGAGTTTTCCTCGTAGGACACTCTGTATAGTTAAAATTGGGTAAGAGATAGGTACTGGATAGGATGTGATAAGAAACTTGTTAAGATATGTATTAGGCGATAAAAATACTCTGTGGCCTATAGTCCGCAAGCGAACTATACCGACCGAGCGACCGCTGCTTGTCGGCGAAGTTAGTGCCAACTTTAGCGGATAAAGAATGTCATGTGGTCAGCGCAACAGATCCCCAAGGCCGTTAATTTTGGTTTTATATACCGGAGCCCCTATTTCCTTGAAATAACTCCTCAATTATCTTCACGAGGCTGAGTGGACCCCGTTCCATACCAACTACTTCTAAAAAAAATGTGATAGTGCCGGGAATCGAACTCTGACCATTAGACCACAGAGGCGGCCTGGTAATATGTGATAAAAAGTAAAATAGTGAAGGATGTAAATTAAATGTACTGCATTAATTAAAATCTAGGCACTCAAGTCTAAGTTCGAGAACTGGGTTCGTAGTACTGAACTGCTGGTCACAGTTGTACTTACTCTTGTTAAGTTGTGGGTATTGATGCGATCAGTCCATATTGTGCTACAACGGGGCGTTGTTGTTCATGTGTGTGGTTTATTTTCCGGTCTTGGTAATATTGGTACGGGCTGTACGTACCAGGAGTCTGGAGATGTTTCAGACCGTGAAGTTTTGTCAGTGTTGTAATCTTTTGTACCATGCATATAGTTTGTGTTTTGTCTCTATCTGGAGCTGGTATTTTTTTTTTATCTTGGATGCTGCGAGTATTGTTGTGGAGTGTCCTTACCTTTTACCTTTTAACATTTACCTACTTACTTTCACATCCTTTTGCAATCCGTTGTTCACAGTCATCCAANGTGTTTCAGTTTATCGTGTCTCTTCTGCAAATGTGTATTGATATTATCACGTGATTATGGCTGTGTGACTAATAATAACTTGTTTTGGATTGGATGATTGGATTTATTAACGTTTGCGATCTCTCTTAATCACAGCCTAGGACTCGCTCCATTCTGAGTGGACGACTGACTCCATTTTAGTCTAGTCTGTCTTCTGCTGCCTTTTCCTACCTTCTGTCTTCTACTCTGACTGTTACTGATTGACTTGGTTCTTGTCTGAACTGCGTAGCGGAATGGAGGGAAGTGTTCGTTGATCTCTCGTTTACAAGGAAATATGTTCCGTGCGGGGTTGCTCCAATAATCCACCTCCATGGAAACGTGTTTGTCAACGCGTTCCCTAGGATGGGTCCACATGTCACAATGTTTTGATGTAGATACGTGAACTACAATGTACTATGTATATCAAGTTTATGAACGAAAGATTGTTCATATTATTCGTAGCAGATGGGTCGAAACATCTGCCACTGCTTAAGATTCGGTAACTTGCAGGACCTTTGAGAAGAGCGAAAACACTAGGACTGAAGAGTTCAGAATCTTATTTTAACAAATGATCGGACTTCCGTTAAATTCTCAACGGGCATTGCACTGTAAATAAATGGGACTAAAAAACAAATAAGACGAAGATGAAATACTGAATTGCATGTTACAAAAACAGTTAAACTGGGATTGATAGCCCCCTTATTAATCTCACTTTATTTGTTCTTAACTTTTTTCGTTATTTATAGCCATACTTAAGCTGTTCATTCTAATAAAATAATAACAGAATTTGATACCTTGCGGATTATGGTACGCCTATTTTCACACGTTACATTGGGTTCAACAGTAATTGTTAATTATCTGATTCTCTGATGCAAAATATAATTTAATTTGAAGCTATGCCACAGATATTTTACTTAACTAGCTTCATTCCCTTGAGGAAATTGATCAAGAGATTCCAAGCTACTAGAAAACCGGAAAATTCACATTGTACTTGCAGAAGTTCGCCGTTGTCTCTACTGTTCTGAACCTGTTTGATAAATCCTGTTTTCACGACATATTTCTCTAAATTCTGCGTTTTTATCCTTTCACCTATACCTAGGTCCCCAACTAGTCCCTTCCGTTGAAGTTTTCCAACCAAACTGTTTGTATGTATATTATGTATGTATACTATTTCCTCCACGCTTGATACATTGTGTTCTCAGATCATTTATATTGTACATATAGACCCGTTGCTAAGCAATGACTTTGTAAAAACACTTGAATAAATGAATGTATAAGGGGCGGGCCTTCTTGGCCCTTGCACCGCGACCTACAGTGATCTATTGTGCCTCCCCTTCTGATTATCCCCTCAAAATCCTGCGCTTCGAATGAAGCGTAGGATTTTGTAGGCGGGGACGTCGAAATAGTCACTTTGTTCCATAAAATATTGACCCAAGTGGCGCAATCTTAAATAAGCTAAGGCCTCACATTCGCACAGGATATGTTGTGCTGTTTCGTTTTCTTCTGGACACCTCTCACAAGTTGGACTGTTATTTAGTCCCAATTTGAAGAGGTGTCCTTTGAGGTGACAGTGTCCTGTAAGTAGTCCTGCCACCCATCGTAGCTTGTTCCTGTTTAACTTTAACAGTACCTTCGCTCTTTTAGTAGAGGGTCCTCGTATATGTCCCTTTGCTTGCCTGAGTCCTGTTAAGGATCCCCAGTATTTCTTGTGATTCATATTTGTCCAGTCCCTGATTGCCTTTCTGGCAACTCCTTTAGAGATGCCACAGGCTGGTTCAGGTCCTATGAACGGATGTTCAGCTCCAATCTTAGCCAATTGGTCTGCTATTTCGTTTCGAGCAATACCCAAATGCCCCGGCACCCATATCAGTTGTACCCTGTTATGTTTGGCCAGTTCCATGAGGGTTTGGTGGCAATCGCAGACCAATTTTGAGTTTATCTGGGGGTTTGTCAAGCGCTTTAAGTGCAGCTTGGCTGTCAGAACGTAGATGTTCCTATTTCTATAGTTCCTATCTAGATTGTCCATAATACATACCTTAATGGCATATACTTCTGCCTGGAATACTGTCGTGTACTGCACAAGGCTGAAACTATCAGAGCAGTCCCCCTTTTCTATCGGGCCATGTAAAAACACTTGCTACTAGACAACAGATTCCTAACATTCACCAATGGACTAACTGGGAAACGGTGTTTTCTGCGCTGTCCGCTAAGCAAAAATTGAAGAGCAACAGAGGAACGGTGTTTTCTGCACCGTCCATGCCTAGATGTTATAAGTAGGACTATTTGTGAGAGTGAGTTAGTGCAGTGCAGTGCAGAGAAGTGAAGAGTTGGTTGATGAGTTAGTTGGCTAGAAAACTGCAGTTCAGTCGTTGTGAGCTGTTGCTGTTAGAAACTGGTAGAGATGACACGAGATAGTTCGAGAATTAAAAGTAAGGGGAACGTTCAACGTTGAAGCCGTTACCAGGCAACAACTGGTGAAGACACTGCAGACTGAGAAGACTTAGTACGTGCTGTAGTGAACTGCTGAGTGTGTGAATTAACGATAGCTCTATGGTTAATTGTAGTTACGATCTGTAAGTGACCAAAAAATCCAATTACCAATCCAAACCCTGTCTGTAGTTACTAATACACACAACAAGATCATACTTCCCGTTCCTCGGCACTGTATAGTTTCGATACTGATACTGTCGTAAAATAAGGAACTGAAAAAAAAAACCAAGTATTTTCCGTACAGTATTTACATGGATTAAGAATAACAAATTGCACAAAAAAAAATAATTCTGTGATGAAAGTCTCGTTGTTGACACTTAGCAACTATAATTTTTGATCCTGCAGATACACACTTAGCATCTCATAGAGGCCAAAATGGGTCCGGGATAGTGTAATTTTATGATGGTTTACACTTAGTTCGATGATTCTCAACAGGAACCAGCTACGATGGGTGGTAGGACTACTTACAGGACACTGTCACCTCAAAGGACACCTGTTCAAACTGGGACTAAGTGATAGTCCCACTTGTGAGAGGTGTCAGATAGAAAATGAAACAGCCACACACGT